CTTCCTTCCGAGGAGTGGCTGGTGGGTTTGAACCGCCAGCCTTCTGGTTAGCAGTCAAGTGCTTTAGCCACTATGCTACCAGAGCTCCTATTGTGAAGGATACATCTTTGAAATTTTAGATGACAACATAGGAGAATACCTGGATCCCAAAGTGACCCAGAGCATCAGTTCTTGAATTGCACCAAGAGTGGTTAGTACTTTGGAAGACAGGATATGAATTTAAAATGATTGGGGCTAAATAAGGCAAGTTCAAAGGTCACAGGATTTTCCACTGCACAAATTATGTTAAAAAATAAACTGGATAAACATAACAGGCAGTCATGGTTATCTGTGGAAAGACATCAAAAGGACGTAGAAATTATAATGGGTCAAAAACATTAGTTGAAATCAGTTATTTCAAATCAGATGGAAAGACAGAGATGGATAATATGGAATATAGGATTAAGAGGATTAAAGTTCATTTATTATTCAATTATTGAAAACATTTCCTAGATACAGACGATGCCAGGCACCAAGGAGATAAAAAGTATATAAGAAATCATCCTTAATCCAAGAAACTCAAAACTGAGTAGAGGAGAAACAAGGATAGACCTTCAGGAGGCAATGTGACGGAGGAGGCATAGCTGGAGTCCAGGAGAGGAGAGCTTCTCCCCACAGGCTTCCTGGCTTCCACTTTTATTATCTTCCACCCACATTTGCGCCTAAGCTTGAGTCATGTACAGTCCTCACTGGTAGAACACTGTGACTTTATGTAGAAGGGTTCAAATAATTAAGGTGAGAAGAAAATGCAACTGCTGCAAAGTAGAGCATATACGTTAAGACGAAACAAAATTGGAGTATAAATCACGTGGAGAACTTTTACAGAACTGAGAGAGAGTCCAGAAAAACACTGGACTAGAAGTTAAGCCCCCAAAGAAGCCACTTAGTCTCTTTGCACCTAAGTTTACCTTCATAAAGACCAAACCAGATGAGATTATCTCCAAGGCCCATTCCAGCAGTAAAGGCTCTTGATTTCAAAGTGTTCAGGGTGTCAGGCCAGGGAGAAAGAATTTCAAATGCATCTTATAGAAATAGCAACCATCCCTGACAATGGAAGCTGTTATGTGGATTCAAAGTCTAAATGAAACTGTGTGAGCTATGAAGAATAAACAACCAGTTACCAAATTAACTGACAGAAAATTATCTTTGAAGAAAGGCAAGAGGTGAGTGCAGGAACAACTGGTGTTTTGGGCGAAATCTGAACTCTAGAATTTCCTACCTTATAATGCATGCTGTATCAACATTACACTCCCAATGATGATGACGTTTTAGGCTACTGGGGATTTCAGAAAAATTTCACTCTTTGTTAATGTTGCTGCCTGATGGACGAGTAGGGGATGTGACTCTGATGTCCAAGACTCAGATACCAGCTCTGGGGCCAGTGATACTGCTCAGTCCCCTAAACCCACCAAACCTCTGCTTTCCCATCTATCCACAGCGAAAAATAACCTCTGCCTCTCCTAGGACACAGAATCACTAAAATGCCAAGAAAAGAAAAACTGCATGGTAAGTATTTCTTAACGGCAAACCTGCTGTTTATTCTCAACAAAACAAACGCTTTTCCTTTCCACCCGCTCCAAAAAGCTGTTTTTGGGTCAATTCA